ATGAAAAAAGGAGGGGAGGATGGATCGGTAATAAGACTTACGGAGGAAGGAGTTCGAGGGAGGAGGAGGGGTGGATAGTGAGCGTGTGTCTTGTGGTTTCCGAATGTATCTACTGTGTTTTGTTAGAGGACAACGAGGGGCGAGGGTTTGCACTGTGTTACCTCTTGTTTAATCTGGCACGCGAGATTTTGCATCTCGCTTTCGTCTCGTAAACGAAAGGATGATTCAACTTTTCAGTGTTGATTCATGGGTATTATATAGTTTCGTTTCTTTATCTGTTTTGTCTAATAATTCTTTTTTTCCCCGATTTTTTTTTTAAAGATTAAGGATTGTTTGTGGGGTGTGTCTTTTTTTTTCTTTCTGGAGGTTAGAAGATTGGGGGTGAGGGGCGGGAGAAGACCACCCATATACGAGTCGTCTGCTGAGAATGCTGCGAATTTCCGTCCAGTGACCTCAGAGTTGTAAAATTAATCGCCCGTGACACGGTTGGAATAGCTGTGTTTGTTTCTCGTTTCCGGATGAGTTGCAGACGAGAGGTTTTGCTTTCAGACAAACTCTTTTTGCCAATCTCACGTCTCCTCACGCCATTGTTGGTCGGCAGGCTCCGGTTTGATTGTACCCTCTATGGTCCACGCTTGGTGGTTGTTTTTTTAAAGAGTCGGTACTGCTATAGTAGTACCGGTATGTGTGGTGTAGTGGTTAACCCTATCCTGTCCGTATTTCACTACCGTATCCATACGACGTGGAGAACTCTGTGCCTCCACTTTGCAAATAGGAAATTTACACTTTAATCCCATCCGTACGCTTTGCATAGCAGTCTGTCAAAATGATTTTTGGGGGAAATACTGAAAGTTTCAAAGAGATGTAAGCACTAGAAACTAGAAGTATTCTAAAATGTGAGGAGTACAGCCCCAGGGGTACAAAATGAGCCCAGGGCGTACGAATAGGGTTAAGCACTTTGCCGTTGACCGCAAAAGGTGTGTTGTGGGTTTTGTTCCCAAGTCGGTGGGAGGGGGGTGGGGGTGCAATGTCTTTTCTAACCGAATATATCTGTCTGTGTCTGTCTGTCTGCTGTGTTGTTCTTTTGTACCACTCAGCCGGGGTTCGACACATAGGGTCGAAGCAGTCTGCTTCCTAAATCATCTGGATTGTATAGATGGCGGCGTTTAATGTTTACGAATAAATCCGCCGAAGTAATGTAGATCCGTTTCCGATGTTTAAAAGCTTTTTGAACCCCGGAAGCTTGCGAATATCGTGGGCGCGATGTTAGCTTAGCCCAGTTGCTGTTCAGTTAAACGTAATGACAAGAGACAGACAAAGAAACACTGACGTCATATAACGAGCAGGCGTGTAATTGAGCGTGGAATATACAAAGAGACAACTAAATAATAAGGTGGTTTGGGCGCGTTGTGACAATGAGGCCACAACAGCCTGCTTCAAAGGCCTATAGTATGTGATTCGATATAAGCTTCAAGGCGAAGAAAGGACATGAAAAGATAACTTGATAGGGTCGAAAAGACCCTTTAAATCCATGGGCGCATTCTCAAACGATGAACTTTCGCCCGCAGGCTACCCTCAAAAGACAAACGACATTTTTTTCCTTTGATGTAAATATCACTCTCCAAACTAACAATTGTTTTTATTAATGTGTCAGATTCTTGGTAATGCTGTGGGACCACGAACACTCACCGCATTGCTAAGAACTGTAATTTTAGGAAGAGTTTAACCTCGCTTGCAACACAATTAGGTCAGAGCGAAAATTACTTCATGACCACAACACCTGATTTGAAACCTTTCTCAGCTGAGCTTTTTATTTTGTTTTTTGTGTTTGTTTGTTGTTGTTTTTTGGGGGGAGTTGTTTTTATTTTTTGTTTTTGTTTTTTATTTGTTTGTTGTTGTTTTGTTTTTGTTTTTGTGTGGGGTTTGTTTTTTGGGGGGTTTTT